GCACTTATGGAATAGGCAACTTTGGGAAATATAAAATCCTACTTCTTTGGAATATGGAAAATGTTATTATACAATACGCAAAATCTGCTTATGCAATATGCATTATCCATGTATAGACTAGCTTAGAAATGTTTGACATTAGGGTCTCCTGTTCTCCCACTATGGATTAAGGAGGTGTGTTGAAATTCTGTAATCCACAGTGTTCTGAATATCAGCACATCAAGCATGGACTTGGTAGCCTACACAGCTGTCACTGGGATGTCGCGCGCAGTCTGCTGCGACACCCGCGGCAAGGGCCCCCCCTTACTGCGGGTGTTGCAGCAGACTGTATGCGACATCCGATCGCCAGCTGTGCTAGTTGGTAAAGGCAGCACTTCTAGTGTCTTAGCTTCAAGCTAAGGTTGCTGGTTCAAATCCTGCCCAAGTCAATCATTTTCTGCTATCTGTCTAAAAATGCATTGTTAATTTTAACATTTCTCATTGTCAAGTCCCACACATGAGTCTTGAATTCAGTCGCAGTTTCGGTCCCTGTGCCCCTCAACAACATAAGAAAGCAGTTAAAGCAACAAGCAGTGTAACTTTTCAGACTTGTCAATAACAACGCCCTGTGTCGGCTAGGCTGTTTTATCTCTGGAATTTCAAAGAGCTGCTTAAAACTTTTCAAGATCTGCAAGGAATTCCGGAGTCCTTGAAGGCCTTTTTTTCTTGCCAGAGGATCCCAGAGAACTGGGTTGGTAATGAATTTCCAACCATACCTGTTCTGGAAAGCTGATACAAAACCAGCTTTCTAGAAATTCTCAGTGATCTGGGAGGAACATCACCACCTTTCTATAAAGCTCATGGAAGCAGAAATATGACAGGGTATCCACAAGGCTTTGCAAGTGCGTTACACAAGTACATGCACAAAAATTTGCCTTTTTACGAATTCCCTAATATTCACATAGCAAATTTCTGCCACCTAGGTAATATTTTGGCTTGCAACACATGATTGAGTCAAAAATGGTCTAGATTACAAGGAAAAATGGTAGTTGTGCTATGAAAAAGATGGTGAAAATACATTGAGTTTTGAAGAATACAGTTTATCTTTCATTAAAAAACATATTTATCATAAGTGAATGAATGTACAAAGAGAAATTTTTGATTCTGAAAGGTTTTATTCTGTTTGCTCTACTGATAACAAATGAAAGTCGGGTGCAGGTTGCCCAGCTTCTCCCCGAATAAGGATGGTGTTTTCATTCCCAGGCTATCAAATTAATCAAATTGGCTGGTCATCAGATTGGAGGTACAAAAATGTGTGTGTATCATTTTTTTCAAGACTCACTTTTAGTGGAAGTGACACAAGAAATCCTTCAGCCATATCATCCCAAGTCTGTGAAATTACAGATTTCAAAGTACAAATCCCATGGAAAAAATCAGTCTCTTAAGTCAGATGATAAGGAAAATTTTTGTTGTGAAAGGTAAATCACTGACCAGTCCAGTGATAGGCATATCAGCATAAAATGGGCTTTCATTGTTCCCATTTATAACAATGGAAGTGTGCTTGAAGTTCAATTTTGAATCATCCATATTTCCTGGTGAAAGCTCAGCATTGATGTAATCAAATTTGACTAGAGTCCAACCACTTGTTGAGCCAGGAACATTATTCCAGCGCAATGCACTTTTCCCATCAGCCTGGAGATTTGATACCACTTTAACCCCACGGGAAGTTGTTCTAATTTGTGCTGAACCAATTATCTCAGCTTGTTCGGCTGGGAAGGTTATGAATTTCTTTTCAGGAGCTGGCTTGGTTTCAGTTAGCTTTAGGAACAAGCTTCCATGCGCCTCAACTTTGCTGGTATAACTAAATCATTTCATACCACAAATTTCAATACAAAGGTCAACCAATGTGTGAAACTTGAATATTAAACCAAAAAGGACTTACACTTCATTTATTACCCCCAGGTCCTTGCCAGTCATTACATCAAAGATATGTGCAGATGAAAACCCCAAATCATCAAGCCTGATATTTTTGGTTGTGGCATCATTTGACCAGCTTATAATTACTGCAATTGAATTGATATCTGCAGGTGAGTTTGAAATTCCTTCCATAAAAATAATAATAGGGGGAAGCTTGATTTTCTTACCTGCAACTGTGTTTCCATCCTTCAAAGGCCCACTCCATACATCCATATCAGCAGGATATCGGTGTTTTAAAGTTATGGTTTGGCCTAGATCATCTTGCTGTGTAGAAATTGAAAATGTGTAAACATTCTGTATATAATGATAGCAATGGATTCTCATATCAATTCATCAGGGTAAAATTATTGCTCACATTTATAGCAATTGCCCCTGGATTTTGCAAATTATCAATTTCAGCTTGTCCAAGACGGGAGATGTCACTTGAGAATATGAGGGGAGATCTACAAAGTGTGAAGAGAATTTTTAAATGTCTTGGATCTTCTGTTTCTGATGGTGAAATAGGAAGAAGTAAAAGGAAAAAGAAGAAGGAGCTAACTTTGCCGCTGCCCAAAATGAAAATTGAGTGATCTTCTCAACCATTGATAGTTTATTATCACCCACTTGGAGCCATCCAAGGTCATTGTATGGGCCCTGATTCTGTAGGGAATATGGGTAAAGTGCATTGATTGTCCTGATGCTGTTCAGACATAAAAAAAGCCAATTCAGCTGGAATCAAAACAATGTAGAAAGTTCATTTTCAATCTCACAAAGAATTCCAGCTGTCAACATTATCATCTGCTATTCTCTGACTGTTGACTTCAGTCTTGCTGGCTTGTGGTGAAGCACCCCACTGTCCAGTGCTATTTGTACCCAACCCAGTTAGCAAAATAAGCCAATGGTGATGATCAATGACAATTCAACTCACGCATAAAACAGTTGATTCTGGAAAGTGTGGCGGCTTATTATGTTTTCCATTTCAATGTAGCGTTCCTGTTCTCTTACAAATCATCAGCTTTGTTTAAAATCCCAAAATGTTACTAGGCTTGGACATACATTCAATTCTGTGGCCTGGTCAATGTTTTGCAATCTTCCTGCTGATGCCCAGTCACAACTGCAGTATTGAGTGAGGTGCATAAATATCAGCCTAAGTCTCAAGTTTCTCACTTTGTCAGAAATATATCAGAACGCACGGTCTGTGTGAAAGATAGGCAACACGACGAACATTCACCAAATAGGTTAAATAATCATCAGCATTTCTCAAAGGCTTTACACCAGATCCCTCATCTTTGGTCCTGGGGCATATTTGTGTCCTGTATGGTTTGTTTGTATAAACACAGTTAAATTCCTTTTCGTCCGCAGTGTTTCTTCAGCAATCAAGCATGTTGGAAAATGAGAACGGACCCTCCCCATGTGCCAACACCAAGACTCAGTCCTTTTGGGTTCAAATTTGCAGCAAGAGTATCAGGCTTATCTGGCTTTTGTAGGCTCCAGTGGGCTTTTTTCCAAGGCTTTTTATTGATCACAGTAATTGATCATTGGAATCAGGATTCACCGTTCAATCATCGTTTGAAAATACTATAACGACTTACTCTCCATTCTATCTTGTAATCCTCCTTTATCTTTAGATCTCTTTCCCATCCACATTCAACTATAAACGTTTTGTATCCTGCTTTAATGAATCCCTTCTGATCCATTAAGTCTGCATGCCACAACAGATCCTTACGATTTACGTTAGCCTCACAACCCGAAGGGTAGAAAGAGTTCCACCCCATTACAGCTAATGTAAAGAGGATGATTTTAGTCTCAGAACTTTTTTGGATTATGTGTCATGTACACTCACGTTTGGGCCTTAGTGCTGGAGCCGGACCATCACGAGCTGCTAGTTTGGTTGGGGTTTGATTTGTATATGCAATATTTAAGCTAACAAAGATTGCAATACCAATCCATTGCAATCTGCAAAATTCCTGATGCATATTTGAACGAAACACAGGATATGTACCAAGAAGTGAACCTGCGATTTGAAAATTTGTGTGGCGCTTGGAATTCCCAATTACCCTTTGTAACGGTACTTGTTCAGCTGATCTATAAAAACGACCAGATCAGGACCAGGTATCTGTAGTAAGCGCTTGTGCCTTGGAATGGCTAGTACTATGTAGTTGTTAATCGGAGAGGATGGATAATAAAGAAGTATGGAAATTGTCTATGTAATATTGTAGAAATGAACGTTTTGCAACGCGATGTTGTTGACAACAAACAGTGGAAAAGCCAGTGAGATATCTAAATAAATTGTCCGAAATCAATGTGGTTGTGAGAAGGCTCTTGACAGCCAAGGTTTTTAAAACCGATTTGAGAATCAAGGAAAGATGATCAGAAAGAAAGTGAAAAGTCCGATGAACGTGGCGGCAAGAAATCCGCGATGGAGACGAAAAGGAAACAAAGTGGAGGTAAAAAAAGCAAGCGCGAATCTGGAAGCAAGCAGACAAACCTACGCCTTATATAGCAATACTTGATGGAACACTGGAAGGACTCCGCATCACTCGGTATCCCAGCTGACTGCAGTTGCTTGGGTCTCGTTGCGATGATCAAAGTGACCACAAAAGGGGTGATTGGAACTTGGGGTAGGCCTCTCAAAAGGAGATGTTTGATCCGATGTGCTTGACCAAACATTAAACTTCGGTCGGCCAGGGCCTGGTCGCCGAGGTGGCATTGCACCTTCGAGCGGGTGGAAACAACCAAGTCTCAGTTTGCCTGTGTACGGGGGCGTACCTTAACGTATGCTGATGCAGGCTGTTGGTGTGCTGCCGGATGGCTTGGTATTTTCGCCGGTTCAGCAGCGTGAATCGTGTTGATGGGCTCGCCATACATCTGGGTCTTGCTTGAACCCACTTGCGCATTTCAGACTCAAAAAAAGCAAACTGGGGCCGAGATGTACAAGGTGTTTGATAAGATTACACATAAGTCTTTCTAAATAAATAAATAAACACTGTTCCATCTACACACTAGCACTTTACAGGGAGGGTTAATACACCGGGCAATCTGCAAAAGCTAAGCCTAAATAGTTGCGTGACTTGATAAGGAACCATGATAGATCGGAAGGTATAAATAATGAGGGATAGATCAAGGTGTGCTCTGCGATCTTGGCAATCTTCGATGAAAGTATATGAAAAGGGATCCGATCAGGTTGCTGGTGTGAGTGCTTTAAGGCGTTGAGCTAATGCGTCTTCCGGTGCTTCTTGATTGGCCACCGGTTCCTGTTCGGCAACACCGACCGAAGACTTGGGCACTTCACCCAATCCATGCTTGATCTCTAATCCGGCTTCGTCAGCGACTTTTTGCATCAGTAAATCTCCTTGGTCTTGTGGCATCGAGGACGCTGTTGTTTGACTGATCGCAGATTCCATACAACCCGCCTGGGCATCCATATCTTCAAATTGAGATTCAAATTTATCCATCACCATCGCAATCTGTACCCACACAAAAAATACATCAAACTTATCAACTTATCTTAGTCTTGAAATATATCGAGAGCATAGAGAGTGTCGAGGTTGGGCGGTAGCTCAAAGGAGCTGGGGCACTTACGCGATCGAGGTTCATACTTTCCATCGCTCGGTCCATGCCCCTTACAACGCCTGTCATGCTCGATGTGACGCTCCTCATAGTAACGGCAGTTTCAACTCTGCTACTGACGGCGTCGATGCGCGAAGACAGTCTCAACAGATTTAAGGATTCGTTATGTTTACGGATTGCATTCGCCGCATATATCCTCGCTCCATCTACGTTATCTTGTTGTAAAGCCTAAAATAAGGATCGATTATCGACCGGTACGTATAGCGTGATGCGAAAAGAAGCAGAAACGATAGCGAGAATGAACATGTGCTGCTCTTGTACAGGGGATGGTGAGTTTTGCTGACCTTCTTCAGTTTGGCTTTCTCAGTTACTTCGTCTTTGGCGGCCTTTCGGGACTGTTTCTGTAATTGTTTGGCGGTAAACTTGAGCTGGAAAAGGGATTCTGTTGGATGAGATTTAGATCAGTAAGCTAGACAGGGAGGCCACCATCCAGGATGAGAAGTGAGATGATACTTTACTTTCTAATCCAGACATGATGCCTAACTTAAAAAAGTCCCTCCCTCCTACATGACGGAGTGGTGAGACACTGGTCGCATTGCGCCGACCGGAGGGAGGGACTTACAGCTTATACTGGAATTCCCCCTCTAGCCTATTTCAAGTTTTGCAGGGGAAAATTTCCAAATGAGAATTCCTTCGCGCCCCTAGGTCCCCAGCCAAAAAGCTGTGTATCACGATGACCGCATCGGCCTGGCCTTCCTGGATGTCTATGTGAGGCTCTACCTATAACTCTAACCGCTAGTGACTATGAAGTTATACCAAGAGGTAAACTCGTCTAAAGCCAAGAGATAATAGATGAAGAGAAGTCTTCTGTTCAACCAATATGAAGACTTATAAGATTGATTTTGTAATAGTTTCTTTATATTTGATTTATAGTAATAATATAATTTGAGTATTTTTATAAAGCTAAAACAAAGAACAGGAATATCACGATGAGGAAGAAGGAAACTCAAAAAACCAACAAAGAGAGACAAAGTATAAATACGATCAGAAGCACAGAAGAACACCGCTAAACTAGAACTACGTCATAGCGAAACCAAAATGACGTCAACTAGAAAAATGCGCATGATCCTTCTACATTTCGCTACCGTGATCGAACCGAATTCCGCAACTAAACTACAGAATCTTCAAAGATAACGAATATCGTTACAAAATAGGCTCCCCTATTACTTGAGATTGTCCCGAGTTTTCCGCCGCTTTTTTCTTTTTCTTTTTATATTTCGATTCGTAAATCTTTTTAAACGACTGAACAAAACATTTAGCAGACTCCGGAATGTGTTTCTCAGATATCCATGTGTTTTCTCCAACTGTTGCACCCTTCCAGGCCACCAAATAATCTATCTTACCTTTAGAAACAACTCGTTCATCTAAAATGACACGAATCTTCGCCCAGTCTACGACTTGATCCTCCGAGTAATACTTGAACTTCGATCCGCAAGCCAAGCCACGATCGCTTATCACCATTGGATCCTGGTAACGGACTACCAAAGACACATTAAAAACTGGATGTAATTTTGGATAATCTCGCTGAATATCTAATTCCACAGCATTTTTCCCTACCATCTTGCGCACCTCGAACGGACCGATATACCTGTAATCCAACTTAGAATTAAGCCTGCGTGTCTGAATGAACTTCCGTAACAAAAGCACTTTATCACCCTCCTCATACACCGGCGACTCCCTTTTACCCTGATTGTAGTAGTGAGCCTGTTTAATACGAGCCTGTGTCAAGCATTCAATTGCCGTCTCCTGCGTAATTTGCAAGTCAACCAAAAAATCATCTAATTCCTTCCTGCCCGTGGATTCAGTAATAATATTGAATTTTGGATGAAAACCATAAGTAAAAAAAAATGGAGAAACTTTTAAACTTGCCGAATCCAAATTATTTATGGAGAATTCAGCCATGTCTAGGCTCTTGTGCCAGTCATCCTGATAGTATGAACAAAAATGCCGCAAGTAATCTTCCACCACTTGATTCATTCGTTCTGTTTGACCATCCGTCTGGGGATGATACGCAGTAGATGCCCCAGACTGGATACCTAAAGAGATCATTAATGATTTCCAAAAATCACTAACAAAGGTACTACCTCTGTCAGAAACAATCTTATCCGGCAGTCCGTGGAATTTGAAAATGTTCTTCCTGAACATGGTCGCCAAAACTGCGGAAGAGGAAGACTCATTACAGGGTATGAAATGGGTAAGTTTACTGAGCAAATCAATGACCACCAAGATTGAATCAAAGCCTCCAGAACTAGGCAGCTTTACAATCATATCCATACCTATAACACTCCATGGACGCGGCGACGGTACAATTGATACCAATTTACCATCCGCCGACTTACGTCGCGCCTTCACGCGTTGACATGAATCACAACTGTTGACAAACTTAATTACTGACGCTTTAACCGCTGGCCACGAAAAGCTCCTGGTCAACAACGATAGAGTCCTGGCAATCCCGGGATGACCAACCGTTGGCAGATCGTGGTACATCTTCATTATTTTAGTTCTCAAACAAGTGGGGACAAAAATCCTGTCAAAATACCAATAAAAACCATCAATCTGTTTCACACCTTTTGTATTTTTATCCAACTCAGAGTAAGATCTATCAAAAAAACTTAGCAAGGTAGAATTTGGCTTTTGAAAATGCAAATCATGCCAGCAAAAAGAAACCGAGGTCGCTTCCAGCTTCGCCACCTCCACCATATTACGAGTTATAGAATCCGCATCACGTCGGACATATCCCCCATCAACATAGTCTTCTCTCCGACTCGGACCGTCAGCCGGATTGTTCCTACCTGCAACATGATAAATTAACATATTAAAGTTGTCTAGATAATTTGCCCATCGAGCCTGCTTTGGCGAAAGATGTTTAGCAGTCTTGAAATATAATAAGTTCGAATGATCAGAATACACCGATACCGGACCTTTAGTTCCCATTAACCAAGCTCGCCACTCTTCAAATGCCGAAACAATAGCCAACAACTCTAAATCGAAAATCGGCCACGACCGTTCACGATCAGAAAGTTTCCGGGAAAAATAACTGACTGGTCTAAATTTCCCCTCATCATCTGGTTGACTAAGAACTGCCGCAATCGCATAACCGGAACTATCTACATGAACTGCCCTGTCTCTTTCAAAATCAAAGTGAATCAGCAAAGGCTCTCTCACAAACAAATCCTTCAACGACTGAAAAGATTTCTGCACAGCAACCGATCGAAACGCTTCCGCGTCTGCCGACTTTCCTTTAGTCAAGTTAGTTAAAGCACCTGCGACCTCCGAGAATTGAGGGATAAACCTTCGATAGAAATTCGTAAAACCTAAAAAACGCTGCAACTCTTTCAAATTTGACGGAAAAGGCCACCCCGCGATGGTCTGCAACTTTCCCGAATTCATCTTCAACCCCGTGTCTGTAATATCAAAACCTAAAAAAGTCACCTTAGAACAAAAAAATTCACACTTGTTCAACGATGCCTTAAGGGAATTTTCTCTCAATTTCTGCAAAATGTTAGCCAGATCAATCAAATGTTGTTCCTTTGTCTTCGAATAAATTAAAATATCATCAATGTAAACAAAACAACATACATCCAAATATTCACGCAGGACATGCTGGATGAATCTTTGAAACGTAGCAGGAGCATTTGCCAAACCAAACGGCATAACTTGATATTCAAACAATCCCCACGGAGTCCGGAACGCCGTCTTCCATTCATCTCCAGGAGACATGCGCAATAGATTGAAAGCCGCCTTCAAATCTATCTTCGAAAGAAAACTACAACCGTGCAAATTGTTTAGTAAATGTGCAACAACTGGCAACGGATAAGAATCACGAATTGTCATATTATTTAAAATTTGATAATCAACACATGGGCGATTAGCTTTTCCCGCAACTTTGACATAGAATATAGGAGCCGCAGCTGAAGAGGAAGAAACTCTGATAAAACCTTTCTTCACATTATCAGATATGTAATTCTTCAACTCAACAAGCTCATCCTTACTCAGATTGTACATCTTGCCAAAAGGAGGAACCGCGCCTTTCTTGAGGTTAACCTGACAATCGAAACCTGGCCGATGAGGAGGAAGATTAGCCACTGCCTCCGTTACGAACACATCCGCATATGCCTTAACCAAAGATTTCCCTTCATCGCACTGCACATCGGAAACCTCCTGAACACAGTCATACATAATAATCTTATTATCATTGCCACCGAGAAAAGTGTTAGTGTCTTTCAACCAAGGGCTGCCAAGTATTACATTAGCGGATGCCAGTTTTGTCACAAATAGTTTAACATGAGAACGAAGAAACGAATCGCTTATCGTGGGAATTAAAACATCCCCTTTTACAAACAAAGTGATATCACCGGAAGATGCCGGAGACCCATCAAAAGAATTACAAAGCAATCCGTGATCTAACGAACAAGTACGAAGATCATTAAGCTCAACAAACTCTGCGTCAATAAAAGAAGCCGATGCCCCCGAATCAACCAAAACCAAAATGTCAGCTTGGCTTTTCAAATCAATTATTAACTTTCCTTCAAAGAAAGGACGATTATCATTACGAGATGACATTTTGACATGAGTGATTTGCTTACAATCTTTAACATCCATATCAGCCAAATGAGAAGCCAAAAACAGCTCCCCTGCCGACATAGGGTCTTGAACATCCAACAAATTCGCTGAAGTACCGACGCCCAACCCAACTGCCTCCGACGACAAGGATTGACCAGGTCGAAACAAACTGTCGGCCGCACCCTTCTTCGAAGTAGGTTGACCTCCAAGCTCCGAGATCGACTCTCGCTTCTTGCCTTGACGTCGATCCGCCATAGATGAACCATCCGCACCAAACGAGTCTTCAACCGAGTCTCGGCCTCCATCAGTAGTCGCCTCTCGCTTAAGACCACTTTGCGTTAAACCTCCCCACGATCGCCACATATCGATCATGTCATCGGTCTTCAAATGCAAGTCCGGATCCACTGGGCACCCATGAATTTTACGATGGGCAGCATCAAAACGATGGCCGCAACGGATGCAAAGCTTGCGAAACCTAGCCTCATCTCGCCACTTCAGATAAGTAAACCCCACCGCTTCCATCTCCGCCGTACGGATTGCATCGATGTCCATTGGAACAGCCGAATTGTTGGAGTTGGAGGGTGGCGCATGACTCGCTTGACGATGAGGATCCGGATGATGAGACTCCGCTCGGTGCTGACCCGCGACTTGATTCATAGCCTTCTGACGAATACCCTTTTCATAGAATCCGACACCTCCTAGGTCCAACGACAGAGTTACCGCCATAGTTTGCTTTCCTTGAAGTGTCTTGATAGTCGACCAACCACCTCGAAACAAGCCTAACTTCACAATCTCTTGATTGATCGCCTCATCGTAGATTTCACACTTGGAAGCTTCTGACAAATCAACAGAGTAAAGCAAGGAGTTAAAAATAATGTTAAATTCTTCAACTGTCTTGGAACCTTGACGGGCCGCTTTCAATGCTTTACGAGCGTCTTCAACTTCTCGGTGATTAGAAAAGGTTGATTCAATAGCCACCAAGAAATCCTCCGCGTTACATAACTTGGCCAAGACAAAGTCCGCGCGTGAAGAAGCCGTCAACGAGCTGAGACCTTGCGTTTGAGCGTTCTTCCCTAGCAGTCCACGCCACCAGTTATAAGAAGGACAAACATCTCCCAAGCGTCCTGACTCCGAACGGAAGTACCCCGCAAGCCAAAGGACCTTGTGCTTCTCGTCCGCAAATTGACTACCCAAACGTTCCAAAGTATTCCTCATAAAGAAACAAAAGGAATTAGTTTCCTTTGGCGCGCCAGAGAAGAAAATATGAGAATAATGAGCAGGATCGACAAAGGTCTTCTTAACAGGAGCCAGAGATTGGGAGCCTACAACCTCCACTCGATCCAGGCAAGCCGACGTGTTTGAACCGAGAAGATCGATGGAATTACGCAGCTGAACCAAATCCGTGTGAGAGGCCGAGCGAATCTGAAGAAACTCATCATGGCAAACCGACTTGATCTTCTCCATATCATTCTTGATCTGTGCGAGATCGTCCTTCAATTCCCGAATAACCGTCTTGTCTCGACGGGATTCCGACTTCAAATCCGCAATTGCTTGGGAGTTTAAGGATACCGAATGAGACTGAGTATTGTTGTTGATCTGAAGATTGGACAACAATGCAGACACATTGGTGTCATCCAACAACGGACCTGGGGCTGGAATCGAAACGGCGGGGTTTGGACGGCGTTTGAACGGGCTTGGATCAAAGAAGATGGGAGGATTTGATTGTTGATAAATGGGATTGTGTTGAGGTTCACGAATGGGACGAGGCGAAAATTCGATAAAGGAAGGGGTACCAACTGGAGAGGGAGTATTAACAGTAAAGAAAGGGCGAGGACCCGATGAAGGAACCGGAAGAGAATTCATAGCAACTGGTGATGGTGTACTGGGCAAAGAAAGATGGAGAGGGGTTATCGGCGAAGGTTGTGAATTGTCGTCCAACATGAGAGTAGAGAAAAAAAAATTTACTTCAAAGCTTGTTGATAGCTTTGAATGGAAGATCGTGATATAACTGTGAGGCTCTACCTATAACTCTAACCGCTAGTGACTATGAAGTTATACCAAGAGGTAAACTCGTCTAAAGCCAAGAGATAATAGATGAAGAGAAGTCTTCTGTTCAACCGATATGAAGACTTATAAGATTGATTTTGTAATAGTTTCTTTATATTTGATTTATAGTAATAATATAATTTGAGTATTTTTATAAAGCTAAAACAAAGAACAGGAATATCACGATGAGGAAGAAGGAAACTCAAAAAACCAACAAAGAGAGACAAAGTATAAATACGATCAGAAGCACAGAAGAACACCGCTAAACTAGAACTACGTCATAGCGAAACCAAAATGACGTCAACTAGAAAAATGCGCATGATCCTTCTACATTTCGCTACCGTGATCGAACCGAATTCCGCAACTAAACTACAGAATCTTCAAAGATAACAAATATCGTTACAGTCTAGGTCTCATAGCTCTCTGAGCTCTCCTTGACATCCTATCCGGAATCTAAGTGAGGGTTTTTCACCCAGGGAGGGTCAGCCCGGTCGAGAGTTTGATGGAGATCTTCCATTTCTTCTCAGCTTGTTACATGAAGGAGGTGGGCTGCATATACAGCCCCCAAAATGATCTCCGACATTCCAAGTGGGCTGGCTGTTACATACACTGTTATGTCGGCATAGTCCGTGATATAGGTAGAGACCGTTATCACAGACACTATCCAGAGAGCTTCGACTAAAGCTCGTCACTCGTTTTCGCCGATCCACATCTAGCTGAACTGTTGCAATGGCTTCCCCCACCCGTCCTCGTGTTACTATGGAAGAGAAGATTGCTTCCATCTGCTCCCACATCAAGAGCTTCAATTTAACTCCGAAGAGTTTCTTGACCGCATTTCTATCTCACAGCGTGATGAATGCGGCTTTCCGTCGACGATTTTGGGGAACTGTGGGATGGCCGGGAACCGAACGGCTGCTTCACTCGGTGAAAAACCTAGTATGTGCACACTTAGAAGGCCAAGGGCACTGGGAGGACTTCATATTAGACCAGGTGGGCCTCTGCCGTTGTGATTCTCAAAGTCAATGACATTGACATGCGATCTTGATGCGATCAGGCGATTGCAATTGCGCGTTCAGAGAGACCTCGAAGCGGTCGTTATCCAGAGGGAGCATATGTCAACTCGGCCAGCTTATCCGTTGACTTCTTCACCGAGCGCGAACGTTTGGCTCGGAATCGGGCCTTGACAAATCAGATGCCCTTCATGTATAAGCTGATGTTTGCAAAGCTGCAGGCAGGTGATGATTTAGGTGATGAGGAAGAAGAAGAGGGTTTCGATCTAGCCGATGATGAGGAATTAGAAGGATCGACTCAAGGCAATGTTTTTGGTCCAGAAGGGACAAATGTTGGGTCAACACAATTGGCTACAGATGGCGTGCCGACCGAGTTGCTGAACCGAGATGAGAATAATCCTCTGGGCCCTCTGGATTCCGACGGGGCAACTCCTCCGCCTAAAGATGACTTCAATCTAACTGAGGATGACATCAATGAATTTGAAGGCGGGTTTCTCTGCAGGAGTCCTGATCGACAAGTGCGCAGAAGGGTTCGGGTAGAAACAGTGCGTCCTCAACTCACCCATTTGAACTCTATAATCTGGAACTTATTTGGTGCTGATCATTGTGTTCTGATGACAGATGGCCAGGACGATCTGTGCTATGCTCGCTTTTGGTACAAACCGCCGTCATAATGGATTCCAACTGAGCAATTCATTGATTTTCATGGCTTCTGGTGTCACCGAGCGGGTCAACTCGTACCTTAACTACATAGGATTGTGCTCTTCAAGGAAGACGGCTCATGTTGCGCTCAAGTCCCTTGGCCAAGAGGCCGAAAAGAATCTCATTGTCCGCTTCTCACTTGAAAAGGCCCCATTGGTTCCACCAATCATCTGCTATGACAACTTGGACTTCCAACAGAAAGTCCACATGAAATCTGTTGGCCATTCAAGTGTTATGTTTCATGGGACTTGGGGGTATATACACTCTATTCCACCAAGTGTCCGGAAATCTCTGGATCCAACCCAACTCACAACTGAGGCCCTCAAGCAGGCACTTCACAATGCATCAAAGCTGAAAATACAACCCAGGATGTTTGCACCAAGCCTTCAGAGCACCAACCACTTCGAAGCAACCGTAAAATCGCAAATAACACAAGTGATCCTCCGGTATATTGCCACTCCATTCGATCGTGAGGTTGAACTGGCCAAAGACCCACCGGCAGTGCAACCTCTTGCACCGGAACTGCCAAACATTTCAATGTTAAAATTAATGATTGCGTCAGATAATTCTGCAACTGGGGTTGGAGAGGTTTTCACAGGGGTTATTCAGCAGTCAGGTTTGACACCAGAAGAGTTCCATAGTCGACTGCAACTGGTTGAAGGCGACCTTGGCTCGTGTAACATATTTGACTCGCTGAGGGCTCAACGGACACCTGTGCGCCGGCACGCATCTGCCCTGGATAACATCCTCCCAATCCCCGGGGCTGCTCATACCCTCTGGAATCTGGCGCAGTCGATATTCCTAGCTCATTGGGGGGATGAGACACACTCGCGAGACACTGGCGCCTGGCGTACACTTCATGCTTTAGGAATCCCAGCAGACAAGCCGGTAACTAAAAAGGACTTCAACCTGATGTTGTCCCATATCCAAAAAATTCATGAGGTTACTCTAATATATTGTGTCTTGTGAGTTTTTAATGGACCAAGTGAGTCATCTCAAGTTGCTGACATATATCTTGGTTGCAGGGTCATCTTAGGAAAAGAGCATGAGCCATTAGGACCGGAGCTCATGAAGATGTCTTCCAAATCAATCAGTGAATTAGTCCAGCAGACCTATGATCGGTTCTGCTCAGGTGGGGCCCAGAAGTCCGAACTCGCCTTAAAGTACAAGACGCATGCGAATATGATCCTCCGAATCAGGGACTTCGCAACAATTATTGAAGCCATCCGCGCGATGAGGGCAGGTGACCCAGGCCGTCTCATGTATATGTGGGCCAGATGGGCTGTCATGAGCCAGGCAATTGGAAAGTTGCCCCACTACTCAAAACATGTTCCAAGGCTGATACTCCTCATGAACGAGGTGTTGCCACCATCACTAGCAAGTATTATTAAAAGCACCCTGCTGATTTGCCCTACCGGGAAAAACAAGCGATTTGTTGCAACAGATTTCTACCTTGAAATCCAGAATTATTGGTTGAAGTATTTTTTCAATCATTCAGGAATTGGGACCGAGATAGACCGGTTGAAGGATGTCTTTTCAATAAATATCCCAACGGTGTGTCTTCCTTTGAAATTCCACATTATTGCTCATTACTAATGACCTTTCAATCATCACCTTTGTTGCAGTTGCGCTTCCTGAATCAGTTGTTAAAACATGAGTCCGGTTGCAATGTCTTCCATCAGTCACACAAGAACCGTCTGTCAACATTATCAATTAACAACTTCATCCGAATGGCAAACAAGGAAAATTTCTGTACTTTCAAAGCAGGAGCCTTTCAACCAGAGAAGATCCCGGACTCATACAGAGAAGGAGTCAGGAAATTACAAAAGGAATTTGACAAGGATGGACTTGATCGACTAAAGCCATACAGTCCAGGAGACCTCAAACTACAAGAGCATACGGCCACCAGCGTTGGGGAAGACGAGCACACACCAGCCCAGGCACTTGATCCATTGGAGAGAAGCAGTGAAGACTCGGATAGCATTAGCAGTGGTCATAGTGAACATTCCATCATGGACATCAGCTGATCATGAGTCCCCAGCAGATTGAGATGCCCCCGGGGCTTGATGTACCAAGGCTACATGTGTGTTGTACACCTCCAATTCATGTCTCATTTCCTCTCTAGTTGATTGCTTCTTCCTTGAGACAATTCCTCGAAGGTCTCGATTGTCGCTCGCACGTTTCTTGTTGCTCTCTTTTGTTTCTTTACGAATCCGTTTGTCATCCGCCTTTTTTGCTGCAACCACGGCCCTCGCTTCTGCAGCGGCCAGATTACGCAATCTGCGTGCCTCCTGCTTTTGAAAGGCCTCGTCTGCTTGCTTTTGAAGCCGTTGTGCTTTCTTCAGTTCAGCCTCGAACCGCTTGCGATCTTGTTCCGCTTCCTTCACGAGCCTTGATGCCTCCTGTTTTCTCTTCTTTTCAGCTGCTTGCTCCTCGGTCCTTGCCTTCTTGGCCGCGTCAGAAGCCTCCTTCCTCACTAGTGCCGCCGCTGCCACAACCGCTTGAGCCCTTGCTTTTTTTTCTGCCGTCCATGCTGCCTTTTCAATTAGCAAAGCCTCAGAATTTGCCTCAATCTCTTCACGTAATCGAACCTCCTCAGACACAATGAATGCCTCATGCCGCAGGATATCTTGATAAACTTCCCCCTCCATCCAATTGCTGATAGACTGATCAAGCCATCTCGTCTGGTCAGGAAAGAACTCCCCACCCATTAGCCTCTCGGCCAGCTCGGTGTTGTGTGGAATGGCCCCGCAGACCTGGTCAAAATGTGCCACGATCGCGGTTGCGTGTGACAATCCAAAGAAATCTGAAGCCTCGAATTCTGCTGATGGCCCTAGTGCTTGAGAATAGAACAACTTGAAGTCTTCAACCAAGTACGATATAAGGTTTGCGGCCACCTCAGGGGCCAGCCTACAGGTCCCCTTGGGCCTTCGCGGCTTTGCCTTGCGGGTCATTGTAACAATTGAGCTGTCCTTTGGTGTCGCCAGGGGGTCCGCGAGGATTGCATCAAAGTTGTTTACCGTCATTTGCTGTGCCAAATTCAGAATTGCCTCAGCCTCGGCCGGGCAACAATTCGAACAGCGGCAAATGTCAAAACCCTTGGAAAGTTCCCTCTTTTTTTCTTCTTGATAGGCTGGGTCTTCAAGTGCCAATGGGATGTAACCATGTCTAAGCCAACAGTGAAAATCAGCCAATGTATCCCCAAATTCAAAAAATAAACAAACTCAACTTGTTATCGATTGTGAGTGCAATCCTCAAACAGACTGGAGTGACCGCCAAAGCATCCATACGATCATCATCATCCTGAATTCCCTTTGATGCAAAGGCAGCCACATTGTTTTTCCCTTTCTTCCTAATTGGCTCCATGAACAGGATGCCCAAACCGCTCTTTCCATCGCGTCCACAGCGCCCGACCATTTGAACAATTGATGATGGGTCTCCACGCCCCATGTGAATAACACATCGCACGCGCTTCAAGTTTTGCCCCAGACCTAAGGCCATAGTAGCCGAAATCACCGGGTATTTGCCTTTGGCGTAGTCGGCCATGTTCTCAGTCTTGTCTTCGTCCCCAGTAACTGAGTGAAATCGACGAATGAATGAATCCAAAGGGTCGTATTCATGCCATTTTGTGTGGCGGGCCTCATTGACAACCCTCATCACTTGAAATGTCCCATTCCGAGTCCCAGAGTAGATGATCGTTGGAACCACTTGGTCTGCAGGAGCCACTGTCTGGGGGGCGTAAATCCTGAGCAAATCATCACAGGATTTCAGTGTTGACTGCATTGAGACCCGTATCAACCTAATTTCGGGCCGAGTCAGCTCCCCATCGATCAATTTGATGTCTTCTGGTTGCAGCTTCAAATTTGATGTGATGGCCTCAAGCACCACAGGTCGGCATGTTGCCGACATCAACAGCAGCGGCACATTATTTGTTGCCATTAATCTATCGCACATACTTCCATATGATGGCCGAAATACCGAACGATCTTGATGTCGGTCGAAGGAGTTCAGCCTTTTACTCTGTTTTGATGCTACAAGGCCCCACAGGTAGACCATGTGGGCCTCATCAACTACAATTAATGCAAGTAGATTTTGAAAGTCGCTGCTGAAAAACATCTCTGTAAAGAGCGAGCTGTTCAGAAATACTTCAGGGCTCTAGGCCCAAATAGAGAATGTCAGCTAACCACATACGCTATCCACAGGAACACATTTCACTGACGAGGTAAACAAAACTGTAATAGCCTTTCTTGATCTTCATAACGGTCTCAAAATTCAAAGTCATTTTATTCAAATTTATTGCTGTTATATTAACCAACGTCTTCTCTCGGACCTGGGAATTTGGTCAAAATTTGCCTTCAGTCCTATTTCATGTATATCGGTGCGGACAAGAAACACTTCACCTGATCATCTCCAAGCGAGTCCAATGGATTCAAAACCAGGACAACTGCCTTTGTCGCGTAGAGATTGAAGAACATCTCCGATATCCTTGTTTTCCCAAATCCAGTGCCTGCGCGCACAAAACAGTTCTCCCCGCGAACCAGAGACAATACCGCTTCCACTTGCTGATCTTTAGGCTGATCGTGATAGAAATCGACCGAACTTCCTGTTATGTGGTTCTTGAGCAGTTCATCCGGCAGATCGCGTATGCTGTTCGGAAGCTCGACTGCTTTGCTCTGACGCGTGTTCTTGACGGGCATATCGCAGTATATTTTGGACTCGTTACTTAGATGACCCCGCGTTGTGATTTAGGAGACATAACAGCACATCGAATCGAAGATTTGGATGCTGGCCTGTCATGTTGAGCTTTTTTTTTCAATGTATTAGAAATACAGTCGCGACAAGTCTCAAGCACTGCATACAATACAGACAAATCGTACAGTGATAAAAAAACATGAGAGAAACACAGAAGTCAACATAAGTTTGCAACCCGACAAGCTATAAAAATTTGGCATCGGCCAAAAGATGCGCAGGAAGCCAGCGCTTCTTTCCCTCAGCGAAAACTTGTTGCCAACATGAAAACCGACGGAGCTACATTACAATGAATCCTAAATCTCATCATTTCCGACAAGTTCCAATTAGGCTAGAGCGCCAATTTTGATCTAAGGCCTAAGTCCCTCCTTCGGAGGGTCCCTGCGGGACGGCAACATCCCCCCTCCGATTTCAGAGGGACTTTGATAAGTTAGACATGATGCGCAATATGAGCCTTGGTGGTCCCGTTCAAGATTTACTCCGAGCAGGTCTCTCCCATAGAAAGGCCCGATAGGCTAGGTGTCACTGACTGGCTCGCCTTGGTCGCACCACCGATCTGTGACATGATGCGAGAAGCCTTGACATGGCATCTCATGACAAAGGTGACTTGAAGTTGGTTGCCTGCAGGACAACAGACCACAAGGATTGCTCACCCAGAGAAATCAATACGCAAAATCAAAGCAGATAAATTTTCTGAGAATCTGTACTGTGGCTCCCAATAAAATTTTCAGGCATATGGCTCTAAGAGACTTAAAGCTTGTATGTTTCAGTGAGTTGTATCATTCAAAATGATTCAAAATATCTCAACTTCAAGTTAAATTTGTAAAATTTAGAAAATATTCCATTCCTTGTCAGAAAAATCTTGATAAACCAAGGGTAACTATTTTAAATTATATCTCAGGTTGACATTATCCAAAAACTTTGGTAATCTCAACAAGATCCATCACTTGCACAATTCTTTCAATAAAGTTCAAGTGTGGTATCTAGGGAAGACGCCTGTTAAAATGTCACTTGATTGACCTTGTGACACCCAACAGAAATCCTTGACAACTCAATACTGAACTCAAACCTAACAACCAGTCCTCATCAGTCTCAACTCTCTCCCATGCTCTTCCTTCTCACTTTCTTAATCTTTTCCACAATTTCTCTTATCTTCTATTATCTCTATCATCTTCAACAACCCTCAATCATCTCTAAAACATTTACAATATCAACCTGCACTCTCAGATCTCAAATTATCTCAACTCTTGAACTTCAATTTGGTGAGAAGAATAACCCTCAATTGGATTTCCTTCTCCTCTTTCAAATCCTGTTTACCAATGTTTCCTCTCTCAGTTCCTGTCTTCTTCTTGTTCCTGTTCTTAAAAAATAACAATCAGTTGTCTGTCTCTCAATCTTAAAACACATATTTGGTTCTGGTCTTGTGGTTTTTAGCAATCTTATACTGTTATTTCATCAATGCCCCAAAAAATTTAATAGTGGAGGACTTCCTTTTGTCCAAATCAGTTAATTTACAAGGACATTCTAAATCTTACTTGCTGGCAAAAATCAATCAAGATCAATTTTTGACAGCCAATATAGTTGAGGACCCCCTTCTAAATCAAGTTGATTTTCTAAGGTGATGGGATTGGGAAGTCCTCCACTTCCCTGGAATGTCAGCAGATGTAATTTTGGATAAAATTTGCCATCACAGTGCAAAATCAGCTCATGAATTCACTGAAATTCAAGCTGAATAACATTAACATAAAAATGGAGAAGCAGCTGTTTTTGAGTCAATAGGGGGGGTTCAAATTTGAAATTCTTCAGCAAGCCAACATGCACATTTCAAACCAGAAGAGAATTAAAGTTTAGGCTTACAGGGGCAAGCCAACTTGGCTGGTGAGATAGTAGATTTCACAAACCAGCAAGCAGTGCTGGGTAGCAGCATTCAATCTCAAATGTGAACCGTCGTAATGAAGGATAGTGAGAGGTTGTTTTCAGCATTATTTTTCAAGTGTAGAAGGAGGAGAAACAATGGAGGTTGAATTCTTGTATCTTGGATTCTTGCTATCTAATAATTTATTTTCAAAAATTGTGTAGAACTTCAAAGAGATCTGTTCAAGGAGTTGCTTGTTTCCAATTAAGATTCAGATAGAAAAGAAATCTTACCAAAATTATGGTGCAACCCCACACTTTGCTCAAGAATGAGTGACAAGCAGACTTGGTTTGTATACCAAATGCCATAAAAGTGCCCTATGTGAACTGGGCAATTTGTTTTTAATTCTTACATATTTGGGCACCAGTCACTTGAACATCAATCACAGATTTAAAAAAAAAAATCTTTCCAACCTCCAACTTAAATACCTTCAGTCTCCTGATAATTGGCCCATGGGACATCAGCAGCATCAGCCTGGCCACACATTCACACCTGCAATTATCCCCCACCTTGTCTACTTGTGATTGGTTAACCCTTAACTTTTACATGTCTTCCCCATTTAGTAGTTTACCATGACCTTAAGTCTTTATCTTGTAAATCAAAGTCCTTTGTCTCCATAAAGCCCAATGCATATTGGACGCCTCTCCTGATTCCATGGGCAAATAAGATCCCCCATGTTCACCGAACGGCGCCGGCCAAACCAATGTTGCATGCCGTTATTGCAAGGTCAGGTATGTAGCCGCCGTGTGCCATGGTAACCTGGGCCACAAACAGCCTGACAGGGAATTCGTTGACAAAGTTCACGTCATTCTTCCGACGTGGCTGCTTTGTGAGAGCGTTCCCGGGGCAACTTAGTTGTGATAGCCCCTCGTCGACTCCCGGAGACGGCCATGCTGTAACACTCAAACTAGTCATGTGTAGCACCTGATCTAGGTACTAAGGGAAGGTGCTGATGTCCATGCGCACAAAGAAGATTGAGAATAGCTAGGCACCAAATGATTCTAGTCCGGTCTTAGATAGAATCTTAAATTTGGTGACCTAGGCGCGCCACAGACTCTTATACCGTGATCTCTAGCAATCACTCTCTTGTCTCCCCACGCGCACCACTATCTCTCAATCTTATTCATCATAAATTAACCGAATCCAATCCTCTCCTTTTTCAACAAACATCGACGCTTTTTTCGTCTCAACCTTATCGACGTTTTTTTCGTCTATACTTTATACCAACTTTTTGTATACACCTCATTTATAACAACCATCACTCGACAAACAACTCCATCACTCGACAAACAACTCAGATTCTCCCCTTCGCCGAACAAGACACAATGGTCGACGCAAATAACACACGTGCCACTTCAAAGAAGATCAAATATTCCTCGCTAGCGAAAAACAGAAGCAATGAGTCCTCCATCACAGAGTCGCTAATCCCTAAGGGCAGCGCGGCTATCGAGACAGAAATCCAAGCCGGAAGTGGCAGTACAGACCAAAGAGCCCATAGTGGCAGTGGCGGTCTAGCAAACCCGATAGGTACTCACGAGAAGAGACTAGAGAGTGAAGGTAAGTTTTTCTATTTCGAGACAAGTTTATAATCCTTTTCAGGATTGAGCGTTGAAACTCGCATACACAAATATTGTTATCACCCATCTAGGGACAATCAGAGCCCATAGCGGCAGTCTAGCAAGCCCAATAGGGACTCAGGAGAGGAGATTAGAAGGTGAAGGCAAGCCTTTCTATTTTGAGATTAGTTTATGATCCTTTTCTGGATTGAGCGTTGAAATTCACATATAAAAATATTTTTATCACTCATCTAGGGACAGTCAACAATACTCTTTATTCCACGTTGGTAGACACAAGCGAATCCCGAAGAGACAGAGCCCCCGTGGCATTTTTGAATCCAATGGCGAAAGCTAAGATCAGTATTAATGTCGCAAGCGATGGCATTGAGGAAGAAGAAGAGGATAACTCACCAGGTTAGAGACCTATCAGTAATTTTGAGCATCGCCTAAGGCTATAGAACCATTAAAATTAACACGAACCACTCAATTTAGCCATTGCAGTGTCCTCTGTCATGTCTGATCGTGAACAAATGTGGAAGAGAGTGGTCACGGCACAAAACTCTGGCGACCTGGACCTAGCCGAAATGTTGTTCAAGGCAATAGGTCAGATTGGGAAGGAATCATCTCCCGCGGTTCGTCCTGCAGCTCCGATTTTTGCTATCCCTAGCAACACCGCATCAGGTGAAGTGACCTACCTAGGTACTTCAACGGTTGAACAAGCGGTACCAAACGCCAAAGCAAAAACAGCCCCACAAGATCCGGAAAAGTTCTTCATGACGGAGGGTGATTTGGTGTACGCCATAGGTACTGTCACCAATCACAATAGTGTTGGGTTTGCACCGTTGCTAGATGAAAACATCGGGAAACTCCGTTCGCCTCTGCCCCTAACCATATTCAACCGGAAATGGCAGCAAAGAGCAATGGCTTACCATTTGGATAGACGACAGCGTTCCGACGAGTCCTCGGCTGATAAAGATAAATCTGGAGGATACAAAGGCTTTTCTTTTGTCCAAGAATGGACCCAGACATACGCACAGTGGACTCGGAATCATCGAGCCTTTGTCAAAACACTTTGTGACGTCTACAAAATAATCAAATTCTCAAAATTGTTAGCCACTCATAAAGATAACTGCGATGACATAACCGAGGAGTTTGGTTTCATGGTAGCTTTCCGCTACAATATGGAAGTGAGAAATAACACTTTTTCTCATCGGATTACAGAAGACGACGTGAAGAACGTGATTCCTGATATTTTGCAAAGAAAGGAATCCGTCGTCGAGCAATGCTACAACATCTGCAGAAACCTTGGAGAATTAGACTGGGAAGAAAACCTGTATGCCCCAGGATTGCCGTACTCCAATCACGACCCGTTGACCGGTTACCTACGTCCGTCCCGAAGCAATAACGGCTATCAACAACCCCATAATAATAACATGATGATCCACAACCCTATGGCCCAAGGCTCGAACTGGCCAAATCATGGGCAAGGAAACCACTTGAACAACAACCAGAACAGTCACCCGAAGTATAATAACTTCAACAACAGTTATAACGGGATGGGTAGTGGTAACAGTAACCAGAATTTTCATAACGGCAACAAGAGACCGAGAGGGGGTTACAAAGGACATAGCTATTCAGACAACTTCACGGGAAAGTCTGACGGAGGCCAGTCGAGTGGTAGGAAGGGTAATCAAAATAAGTAGGTTAACCTAGGCTTGTTTTTGTGTACGAACGAATCTCTGTTTTGTTTTCTTTTGAGAGATTCTTCTTTTATTGAACCGGAAAATCTCTTTCACTGTCAACAGAAACCCTTTCAGAATATTGCTTGTTGTTGACTCCCCTTTTCTCTTTTTTCTTCTTTTTCTCTCTTTTGTGTTTGTTGCGTGTTTTTCACTCATTATCGTACTCGACTTTCATAATCATCTGTTGGACCAACCCTTCTTGAAATGCAGTCACTTTCTGACATCTGCTATAAAAAGGAAGTCAAGTCTCGTATGGCCTTCAAAAGTTCAATGCGAGATGGACATTGACCTATGGGAGAAAGCACTAGAAAATGCTGGTATTGCTTTGAAGTATGCAGATGTATTGCGTGGTTTTAAACATGGTTTCCATCAAGGAATCCCATCTCATAGAATTGGCAATCTGCGCTGGTTCACTCCAGATAACCACCGATCAGCAACTCTAGCTGAAGAGAAAATTAAAGATTCAATGGAAAAAGAATTAGCTGCAGGTCGTATGTTCGGCCCATTCACATGGGAAGAAGTTGCTCGGAAATTTGAATTTTTCAGAACAAGCCCACTAGGAGCAGTCGTGAACGGAGACGGATCTATACGACCGATAAACAATTTATCATACCCACATGAAGACCCTTTGACTCCATCAGTTAATTCTTTTGTGCGGAAAGAAGATTTTGATACTACTTGGGACAACTTCAATCAAGTATCATCCTTTTTTAAATCTTGCAAAGAACCGGTACTCCTGGCCCTATTTGATTGGGAGAAAGCGTATCGCCAGATCCCAACTCATCCGTCTCAGTGGCCTTATTTGATGGTTAAAGGTATGGATGAGAATTTGTATCTAGATACAAGGATCACTTTTGGCGGAGTAGCGGGATGCTGATCGTTTGGAAGACCAGCGGATGCATGGAAGGAGATTATGTTTTGTGAATTTGACTTGGTAAAAGTTTTTTGATGGGTCGACGATAACCTTTTTATTAAAAAACCCAGTTCAACAACTAAAATGGAAGATATTGTCAAGAGATCGACTGATTTAGGTGTTCGAACAAATTTGAAGAAATGCTCGACCTTTTCAGAAGAGCAAAAATTTATTGGGTTCCTTTGGAACGGAGTAAAGAAGACCGTTCGACTCCCTGAAACTAAACTCGACCAAAGGAAAGCTCAGATCCTAGTATTCTTAGATACATCAAAGAAATTCTCTTTTAATGAAGTTGAAATATTGACCGGACAACTTAATCACGTCTCGTATATGTTACCACAGTTAAGATGCTATCTAAGAAGTCTCTATAGATGGTTGATGAACTGGTTTGACCTTGAGGCAAGACGGTATTCACCCGTTGACGTATTAGAAGATCTGAAGCGGTGGAAGGATATGCTGGATACATTCAAACACGAAAGGCTAATTAGTTCACCAGAGCCCATAGACATTGGTTGGGTTGGAGACGCTTCAACGAGTTTTGGGATAGGCGTCATTATAGGGAAATACTGGACACAAATGAAAATCCTGAAACCGAAGCATGAGGCCTCCTATAAACGTAATATCGCATGGTTAGAAACAGCAGCGGTCAGGGTTGGTTTGCTTATGTTGGAAAGCATGAACCACCTGAAAAAGGGTTCTAATGTATTGGTGTGGACCAATAATACCACAACGGAATCGGTCATCTTGAAACGGAAGTCTGGCGACAATAACGTGAATGAAGAATGGAAGTTGATACAAGATTTTTTAATACATCATGAAGTCGATTTAACAGGAAAAAGGGTTAAATCAGGTGACAATATTGCGGATGAGTTTTCATATGGAGGTACTGAACCGCCACTTTGGCCAAAAAAATTAAAAATTAAAAAAAAAAAAAATGAAAAAAAAAAATGAATTCATCAGCCAATTTGGCCATACAGTCCCATACAGTCCTCCCATTGATGACCATTTATGACACTGGTCATCAATGGGAGGACACACTCCCATCAAGGACCGGGTTTTGACCGGTCCTTGATGGGAGTCAACCCCCCCAAACACCCCCATTGATGACCGGGTTTGACCGGTCATCAATGGGTATAACACCCCCAATCGATGACCGGTCAAAACGGTCATCGA